GCGGCATAGACTTATCCACAGCCACAGTCACTTTGAGGTGCACCTGTTCCAGCGTGGCCTTCTCCATGGGCCACAATGCCTTCAGAGCTATATCTGCTCCAGCGTGGCCTTACCCACAGCCACAGTCCCTTCAGAGGTAAACCTGCTCCAACATGGCCTTACCCATGGCTGCAGTTCCTCCAGGGGCGTACCTGCTCTGTCATGGGCTTATTCATGGCCACACGCTTTGAGGTGCTGCAGCATGACCTGGTTTTAATAAGCTCTGTAACTCACCTTAGGTAGCTGCACTGGAGGACTTAGTCATGATACTGTGGCTGGAAACTCTTGTAACAGCTGCTCTAGAGCAAAGTTGAGATTTTTATCTTGGTTTATCTTTATCACCAGAGTTGCTCTGCTAGACATGTTACATATTGAAGCCTCACTTAAAATCATAGAACCATTAAGGTTGGAAAAGACCTCTAAGATCATCGAGTCCAACCATCACCCCAACCCCACCATGCCCACTAAACCACGTCCCTAAGCGCCGCATCTACATGTCTTTTAAATACCTCCAGGGATGGTGACTCAACCACTTTCCTGGGCAGCCTGTTCCAATGTTTAAACACTCCTTCAGTAAGGAAATTTTTCCTCATGTCCAATCTAAACCTCCCCTGGCACAACTTGAGGCCATTTCCTCTCGTCCTATCGCTTGTTACTTGGGAGAAGGGACCGACACCCACCTCGCTAAAACCTCCTTTCAGGTAGCTGTAGAACGCGATAAGGTCTCCCCTGAGCCTCCTTTTCTCCAGGCTAAACAATCCCAGTTCCCTCAGCCGCTCCTCATAAGACTTTGTACAAGATAAATTCACCTGGTCTTGGAAGCTAAGCTGTCCTGTGCCCTTTTTATCTTAAATGATGGCAGACCACTAGGAAATGCCAAGCTTTAAGGGTGTGAGCCAAGGAGTCTAACTCAAACACTCAGTTTCTCTGGTATAGTATTTGCTGAATGATTAGAAAGACTCCGTGTGGTCCCTGGGCTTGTGCTGAGCTGTGAAGGACAGAGGCTTTCTTTCAGAAAGAACAGGCAAGTGTTGGCCAAGAGGTAGAAACTGCCACCCTGCTCACCACCTTCTAAGTGTTTTGGTATTTATAACCCTTGAGATTTTCCTTGCTTTTCCACTTCTCATCCTTTGTCCTGGTTTCTCCAACCAGCACAAGCACAGTTGCAGATTCCTACCGCTGGGTGAATCATACAGTTGGCAACAAGACGGTTGTGGAAGAAGGTTATTACTATCTCAACAACTTTGACAACATTTTGAACAGCTTTGGTAAGGGCAATTTTGTCTATAGCAAAGACTATTCCTTAGTGCATCTGCATTCCTGCAGAGCTGGGTGGCAGGACTGTAATGCTTATGTAAGCCTGGGACTCTCCCAGAGAGTCCTACTAATGCACCTCAAACACTCAGCGTCCTGCTCTTTCTGTCTGGAAAGCTCCAGCTGACTAATTGTGCCACGACTGTTTTGCAAAGTAAGCAGACATCTCTTAAAAGCCAGCGTGAAGCCAGCAGATCTGTTCTGACTGGTGATCAGACCAGACTTCCAGAGATGTTTAAGTCACTACCCTTCTAAAGAACCAATAGTGATGCTAATACATTTCTTTAAACCCACTGATGAAGAATAATTTGAATGTGTTGATTGCTCTCCATGATTTTTCTTAATGTGTGAGCAGAGGTGCTTATCTCCTGGAGGTTTCAGAGGTCTCCATGCTCTCTGGTGGAAAGAGTCAGGTCTGTTTCTGATTTTTTTAAGAAATATAGATTAAGCCATGCTCCTGGTTCTGTGGGTCTAACCCCCTTTGTCTGAAGTAATTGCAGTGATGAGGGTCTGCATTCTGTCTCTGGATTTGCTGGCTGTATTGAAACTTCGGTGTCTTGCGTCAGTCTTCCCTGTCAAATACTTTGTCTAAGAATCACTGTAAAGTAGGTCGGGATGGATAAAGCAATTGCCTGTATTTTTTCTCCCACTCGTATACAGTCACGCTGTTTGAGCTGACAGTCGTCAATGACTGGTACATCATCATGGTAAGTAAACCTCAGCTACTTTGTGTGTATAGACAGCATGGACTCTTTGCCAGTTGAGCTAGATCTTCCACGCCACCACTGCTTTCTTCCCCTGGTGATTGGAGATGGGCCCAACATTGTCACTTCTTGTTGCCAGACATCTTTTGCTCCTGATGGTTGGGTGACACTTGACCTCTGGCATGCTGCTGGGCTTGTTTTCTTGTGAATCTTGACCAGCCTTCAGGCCAGGTTTCACGATCTGGACAAGTGAAGTCACTCTGTATTCCAGCTTGTCACCCCGCTGTCCAAGCTGTGTTCTCATAGCAGCAATGGTTCATACAGCCACAGGCTTTAAATGTTCTGTATGTTTGCATACAGGAACCTCTCTTTTTAGCTTGAGAGGCAGATTAGCTGCAAGGACCAGTTGGGGCATTGAGCATTGCACAGGCAGTCCCTGGGGCTAACTGTGGAGCCATGAATGAGAGATAGATAGTGTTTATGCTGCTTTACCTCTGTTGGCAAGCAGTTAACAGCAGACTTCCCCTTCTTTTGCGCACTACTGACTTCTTCCCTCTCCTCTTCAGGAAGGGGTGACATCCCAAACCACTCATTGGAGCCGTCTTTACTTCATGATCTTCTATATTGTGACCATGGTAGGTTTCTGGACATGCTTCGTGCATCAAATAGTGGGGATGAGGAGGGGAGACAGCTTTTACTGTGTTCCAGAGGGAGCTTCCATCCCTAAATGAGGACAACTTTGCTCTTCTACATAAACGTCTTCCAGAAACAGGTGTGAGTCCACATCACTTGCAGAAAGTTGAATTTATGGGCATTGTCAAAGCTGATGCTGCACAAATCTGGGCCTGGGGTAAGGACTAGGGCAGCACAGAGTTTTGTTCTGTCCCCGTTGTGGTTGACTGCTAGCAGTTTACTCACAGGTAGATGTGTGACATGTGCATCTCCTCTGCCATGGAGGAGCTGGGGAGCATGGAGCTGAAGCACAGACCAAATGCTCAGCTTCGTGTTGAATTGGGCTGGAAGAGTCTCCCAGTAGCAGCCTCCTGATCTCTTCTGTTCCTGTCCTCTCCCAGGTGGTGATGACAATCATCGTGGCTTTTATTCTGGATGCTTTCGTCTTCCGCATGAACTACACTCGGAAGAACCAAGATTCAGAAGGTCAGAACTGAGGACTGGCCGACCTACAACATCGTCTCTTCTCTCCCTGGTGTCTTATGTCTGTAGGAGAGAATGGGATTGGCCAGCAAAGACCAGATTTTTGTTTTAGCCTGACTTCCTAAGCTCATTCTTATGCTTTTGTGTGATATTTCTATCCAGCCTTTCCTCTCTGCCCCTCATCTCTCCCCCACCACTCCCCCAAAAGTGTGTGTGTATGCATGTGTTTGTCTGTGTGTGTGTGTGTGTGTGTGTGTGTGTGTGTGTGTGTGTGTGTGTGTGTGTGTGTGTGTGTGTGTGTGTGTGTGTGTGTGTGTGTGTGTGTGTGTGTGTGTGTGCACGCACATGTAAACTTCAACTACTTGAGCCATTTCAACCAGATTATTTAAAGATAGGAAGTCCGCACGCATTTCATGAAAGAAATCTAGGAAACATTACGGCACTGATGTAGCAAAGCTCAACAAGAGACCTTACAGGAAGGGAAGGCGATTTTTCTTTTAAAACCAATTTCCCTCCTTCACTAATATACTCACCAGCACCAGAACATGTCTCCAAGCGGCTTGTCCAGCATTCGGACACCAAGACACTGGGTCCAAGTGGTTTGCCAGCGCTCTGTGCCATGACATAGAGGACAAGGGACGCTGCCTATCCAGTTCTTTCCACATCTCCGAGTTGTACTTAGACTGGTGACTGCGTGCTGTTTTGGACATACCTGTCTGTAGCCTTTAGGAACTGACAGTGACTAGTCTCTCCATCCCCTCACCCCTGTGAGTCATCAGTTTTATTCACCGTCCTTTGTCTCCAGAGCTGGGCATCTGAAACTGCATGTAACTTCGTGACCTGCTAATTTTGGTGCCATAAACACATTAATCTCTTACAGCCCTTCTCCTGCTATTCCTTCACGTGATCTACACCCAGACTTTTCTATCCATTCTCCATGCAGACTCATCTTAATAATTCTTTACACTTTTCTGCAGGAAGGAGATACAGCTACTGCAAGCATACATTTAATGCCAATCTTCCCTGCAGAAACATGGTGAAGACCCCAGCCACGGGAGTAGCTTTGATCAGTCCCTCATCTTTCTTAGGTCCCAGAAGATCCAAATGTGTGGTGCAGGCCCACAGGAGCCAGGCGTTGGTAGTTACAGAAACACTTGTCATCGTGATGCTTCCTGCACCCAGTTTGAAGGGTGCAGTGAAAGACATTTGTTAGCACTTAACTCCTAAGCCGTGTTAGGTAGTTGAAGGTCAAAAGGCAGTAGTTCCTGGGTGATTAGTTGCTTTGCTAGTTAATTTACAGGCAAGCAAAAGGCTACAAGATTTTTTTTAAGATACTGAGGAGCCTGATGTTTTAAAAAGCTGAGATGCTTGCTGGCCCTACACACTAGTTAACTTCTTCCCAGCCATCTTGGGGGACAAGGACATACATGTTCTAGTCACAAAAGTAGGTACAGACCGTGCCTGACATCTGGCTTGGTCCTGTATGCTGTTAAGCTTTGCCTTCCAGAATTATCATAGCGGCTGATGAAGCAACGTTCATCTCGGTGACTTTTTTTTCTCTTTCTTTTTCTTGCCTCTGCAGAAGACAACGGCATTGTGCTGGAAAAGGAGATCTCCAAGGAGGAAGTGGTTGGCATAATCGAGCTGTACAAGCGGAGTTCAGCTGCCACTGAAACCACTCAGCTGCAGAAGCTCGTTTTGCAGATGGACAAATACGGGGTAAGAGGAAATGCTTCCTGCAAGTTCTTGGCTTCAGGGGTGGGAGGCATACCAGGGCCACAAATGTCTTTTTGCTGTCTTCTAGAGAGAAGCTGCATGTGTCTTTGTAGTGTTGAGAGCTGAGCTACTGGAGGAACTCTGCAGCATTGGCACAAAGTATTGCTGCTCTAGAAAAGTAGCAGCTGAATTTCCCCTGCACTCTGAATAGCCTTGACAAAGGCTTGTTGCTGTTGCCCGCCTCTAACTTCACTTAGAGCTGTCCTGGCCCAGTACTGTCTGGAAAAAAGTATATTTATTTTTCTCTAAGGAAGCCACTGTCTTGTAATTCTCCTGCCTCTCTCTCTGTGCCATCGTACACTTGGGCCCGGACAGTCCTGAAACATTATACAGCAATATGATGGTATCGATTCCAACCACCAGGCTTCCTTTCTCCATGGCACTGCTTACGTTTTCATTCCAAAACAGGATGGACAATTGGAAAAATGAGCTGACCTGGGTAACTGCTGTTTTCTCAGAACTGTTGTCTCATGCATCTGTGAAGAGCTTAAGTGGTTGTTTTGATAATAGCCATTATATTCTTGTATCACCACTACAAAGCGCAGGTGCTACAGTCTCTTAGGTGACCTTTATTTGCTTTGGTTGGCTAGGTGGTTAAAGGCTGAGCTCTTGTTCACACAGACAAAACTCAGAATAGTGATGAGGATACTGATCAGAAGCGGTTTTCAAGACAATAAACGAAAGGAGGATGCTGTCCTCAGCCTTGCAATGGAGTCCAGAATGATGATGCCAGACCTGAGGTTTCTTTTGCTTCTCCATCCTGTTCATATAACTCATGTGGTTAGAGAGTAATTCAGACTTCAGCTCTCTGCTTACATGATTTAAGAAGTCCAGGCCCATGGAGTAAATGATGTGGTCTAGACAAGTGGGACCTGAAATGGTTCTTAGACAAGATCTTATTTGGAAGCTTGGGTTTGAGCCTTGTTCCAGGCACTGACGTTATGTTCATCTGAATAAATGAAGCACCACTGACAGATGCATCCGTCCGAGCTACAGCTCCTTCTGTAGCCTTTGGGGATCTGCTCAGCGTGATTCATCTCAGCCCGCAGTAGACGCCTGCATTTGTTTAGGTGACGTGCACCCTAAAATGCCTTTTTCCCATGGCAATAGAAGGAGCCCAGGATTGCCCGAGCTCATCAGTGGATGATGGGTGTCCGCATGAAGGATGCCTGAAGTTCCAGGGACCGATCCTGTGAGCTGCTCAGTGACTGATGAATGTCTTTTTTGTTTTTTCCTCCTTCTCCCAACTCTTTAGCAAATGTCAACAGTGTTTCTGGGACGCAGATCAAGGACCAAGAGTGATTTGAGTATGAAGATGTACGAGGAGGAGATACAGGTATGTGGGCCCGAGTTGGAAATATCAGCAAGTCTGTGGTGAGCAGAACATTGCCTAGAATAACAAACCATCCTTTTAAACACTGGAGGCCTTCTTCCTCCAAGACCCAGGCAGCCATGTGCTCTGTGAGGAGGGTGGGCAGTAGATGAAGTGTGCTTTAGATTGATCCGTTCTTGCACTCGGGAACTTTCTTAAACCACAGAGCGCCTCAGAGCCTCCTCAGTGGGTCCGGGTGCCCGGCGGTGCAGGTGTGTGTCAGCCGAGGCACAGTAACCGCACGCTCGGTGCGCGCGTAGGCACTCCAGCCTGGCTGAGCTTACCTAGACTCGCCGAGGTGGACGTGTTTGCTGGGGCTACGAGCACATGCGTAGTGCGCTCCTGGGGCTTGGCTGCTGAACGCTAATTTGTTAAGCCACTGGAATGTGATTGTGTTTGCGCTTGGGCGTGTCTGTCTGACACGGAAACCAAGTGTTCTCCCAGGCAGGGTGCTGCTTGGTGGGAGCAATGCTGCCTGGTTTTCCTTCAGAATAGCAGGCTAACAAAGATGGGAAACGCTTAAATCAACTGATTCTCTGGGTTGTTTAGGGCACTCCTGCTAGTGCCCTTCGTGGTCAGGAGCTTTATGCCGTGGATTTGGTCACTGTAGCGCCTGCCAGACGTTCGCCTCCAGGTTGAAGGTCATGGGCTAATGTAATGATTAGTACTGAAAGAATTAATCTCGTAACCATTTGAATCTGTCCTTTGTCCCTTGGGCAGGTAGCTTGGGGATGAGTCTTCAGTCCCTCTAACAAAAATAAACCTGTTATTTGCCATGGGGCTGGGTGGAAGTCTGCAGAGAAGCTCTCCGCCTGTTCTGCTTGGTCTCTGATTCAGGGACGTAACGTCTTATAACACCCTGGGCGCTGCCCAGGATTGGGAGCAACTCTGCAAATCCCAAACATCATGGGGACATCAGTACTAGAGTCCTAGACGTTCAGGAGGGGCAGGCTGAGAGAGGAATGTTTCCTTGCCCAGGTTTGTCAGTTCAGCCAGCTGTAGCTGAGCCATAGGTGGTACTTCTTGCTTGGACTGTGGGTGGCAAGGTCTCGGTGCGTCCGTCACAGCCATGCAGCAGTTAACCAGGTTGTGCCGGGAGGTTAGGCTATACCCAGGGCTTTGGAAAGAGCCCCTCTGTGCCTGAGCAAATGTGCCCTCACATGGCAGAGCAGCCGAATGCTCTGCCCTTCGGGGTCCCGCCGGGGGGCTGCGAGGCCAGTGTGGGGCAGAGCCTGATCTCGGTGTGTTTGATCTCCGGTTGCAGGAATGGTATGAGGAGCATTCCAGAAAAGAGGAATCTCAGACACCGTTGCAAGAGCCTGCATCTGCTTCCAACAGCTCTCTGAAGCCCCTGAGCCTCCGACAACGCTCCCAGACTGTCATTTAGGCCTAGCTAACGCAAGCCGCCTTCTATGCAATAACCTAGAGTATTACTTCACAGCGTATATATTGGGATGATGTATATAGATCTGTTCAGTGTACTGTTCGGCTTTAGGGTTTAAATCTCTTCCCCTAGGCAGTGAATTGCTGAAAAACCAGAGGCCCAGGGGACTCTGTGTAAGGCTGCTACACCCAGATTGAGCATGATGCCCATGCTCAGCACAGAGCGAACATCTTGGACAGAACAGAGACCTTCTCCCTCTGAGCCGCTTCCCAGGCTGGAGCCTGCTGTTTGTCTTACCACTAACAGACCTTGGGGAAAGGGATGTGTAATCCATTAACAGCAGGCAATGCGCTGAAGCCACCTGCTTAATATTAAAACTTTTGCCCTTTTTGAAGATCTCTTTTGCTTAAAGGGTACCATTAACCTAGGAATAAAAGATCAGGGAGTGAGTTTTTGTTTCTTCTCCACCTTCCTTACGCAAAGAAAGGGGAGGTGGTGTGAAATTTCAGCACTTTTGGAAGAGCAGTCTGCCTTTCCCCTCCTTTTTGGCACCCCTAGATGCACTCCCTGTAGCAGATCCAGCTCTGATTTATTGAATTTAGCTGTCCCTGAGCGGTTCTGTAGCAGCTGGAGACAGAACTGAGGGCCAGCATCTCATCGTGTTATGACCATAGGTGGGACAGGAGTTTGGGGAGACAAACTCTGTCTCTGCTGTAGCTATCCAATATCTGCATCGCTGCTGGTCAGTTCTGCCGGTGGCACTGCCCGGGAATGGGATCGCCTCTGTAAACCCCAAACCTCCTGTCTCTGTTCAGTGAGGGGGGGGGGATTCTGCAGGGTGACGGTGGCTGTTGACCTCTGCCACTTGGCCACCTGCTCTGTAAATGGCAAATCTATGGCTGGTTCTTAGCTCAGATAGATGACTAGGAGGAAGAAATGGAAGGTTTTGCAACTCCAAGTCTGACTTACTTCTGCCTGGCTCTGGGTTAAGGAGAGCTTATGGGCATCAAAGAGTACTGCTGGTTAGTCCTCAGCCAGGTCATTGCTTTGTTTATACAGATGAGCAAGTCCCAGCGCAGCAGAGTTGCTCCTCCCTTGCTCTCACCTTTGCAGAAATGTTCCTCAGGCTGGCAAATGCTGACTGAGCCGGATCTTAGGAAGGTCCACTGAAGAGCTTTACTGTTCCCCTGAATTTTGGATGCGGAAGGAACGTGGAAGACGACGATTCTTCTCACCCGTGTGCTTTTCTGCAGCTGGCAAGGAGGCTGCCAGACCTGGTAGCTGAGGGATGGGAAGGAAGGGGGGAAAAGGGATCCCTTCCCAGCTCTGCCACATTTATTCTGTGATCATGGCAGGTTGCATCATCGCTCGTGTTTCATTGCCCGCAACATGATGAGAACCTGTCTCTGTAAGTCCTCTTTTCTTCCCTGTCAGCACAGAAAGTGCTGAGGGCTAGGAGTATCTGTCAGCTGGGAGGCTCCCCCCACCTCTTGCTGTTTGATCTTTTCTCAGGTTCAGACTAACAGCGGAGTTCGCTGGGGAGGCTTTCTCCTTCCTCCAGATAGATCAGGCAGTGGGAGATCTGTGTGCCCGTTCCCTTTGTCCCACGTACCTTTTTGTTCCTTGGTAGCCTCACCACGTGGCACAAGGACAGCGGGAGAGGACTGATCCTACCCGGGCAGCTCAGGAGCATTTCCTGGGTGGATGAGACTTTCAAAAGTAGGCAAGACAGAGCTGCTTCTGAAAATCTCTCCCTGCATAGCATGGTGGGAGCATTTGGGCTATGGGATGGAAAGAGCGGGTGAGCAGCTTTCCGGGCAGCACGCACGCCACCGTCTGCTCTCAACCCTTGCCAAATTCCCTGGGTGCCTCAGGGCAACTCTTTGTTTCCTTTCTGGGTATCGCAGGTATGAAACTACTTTTGAGCTGAACCGTGAAGGACCTTAAAGGGCTGTTTTCCAAACCATAAATTTGACCACAAATTAATGAGCAGTGCAGTTGTTGCTCTTGCAGTTGCTCTGCGTGGCATCACAGCCTGGGAGATTTATCCAGATTAGTCCTGGGGCTGGAGGAGATGTTGTTTATTCTGTTTTAAGCTGTGGGCAGGATGAATGAGCATTGTGAAGGTTGGGGGGGGGGGGGGGG